CTGCCTTATTTGCACACATGACAAAAGCTTTACAAAAATAGTTCGTTTTCACATTTCTAATTCCTTTCGTTAGTTGCTTCCGATATGATTTGAAAGTTCTAAGCACATCAAGATTTCTCGATTTCACGAAAGTTGCATATTGTCACGAATGACAAGTGATGAGACGATAATGACTGAAGAAACTAAACGTTTAATGGGGGCGAACTTGTGCCCAAGAATAAAAAGGAAAATAACAGCAGAGCGTCGCGGGCGTCGAAGTCAGCGAAAGAGCAGAGTCGAACGCTGGGCGAAACTGACTCCGGCTTGCCACGCAGAGCCGCTTTTGTACACGCGTGGGCTTCTGGAGCATTCGGCGTAGAAGGTTCGGCGCGTAGAACATTCTAATCTCGAATCAGCCCCCCAAGACGGTTCTCGAATTTACCAGAATACTAGTCTGCAGAAATAATCAAAAGGATGCACCGCTCCCAGGAATCGAACCCTGGCCCTTCGCGTGGGAGGCAAGCGCGATAACCGTTAAACCATGGCCGCTTTTTTTTTTTTTTTTTTTTTTTTTATTTACCGTTAAACCATGGCCGCGCTGCCTATTTGGCGCGCGGCAATAAAATCTATTCTTTGCTTTGATTTATCCCAGTAGTTCTGGGACGATCCAAAGTTTGGGAACTTTTGTTCTGCCGAAGTAACCCATAAGAAAAGCATTCATGGCGCACCTTTTAAAGCCTAGATAAGAAAATTGGGAATGATTTGTGTCAGTTTCCTGAAAGACATCACTCCAATCAATGTGGTGGATTTTCGGTCTAAGGGTGTCCAGGTTGTTCGGTGTGATGTCTTGAAAAATGCTGGTTCAACATTTTTTTTATGCACTCTGTTTGTTTATATATATATATATATATATATATATATATATATATATATATATATATATATATATATATATATATATATATATATATATATATATATATGACTAAGATGCATACTGCATTGATCGTTTATGTCAGTACGTATTACTATATTATTATTTATGTCAGTACGTTTATGTCAGTACGCAAGATGTATGCATATTGATTAGTGATGGGACGAATCTTTATCCGAATCGAGATTCGGAGCCGAATCTGGAGATTCGGAAAGATTCGGAAGAGTAGCCGAATCTCAAGAGATTCGGAAAAGTTCGGAAAGATTCGGAGCGTTGCCATGGTGGCCTGATCACGTTGATGAGTCTTTCAATTTTTGTAATATTAAATTCTCTAAATTCTACAAAGTGCACAAAATAATATTGTAATATGATATCACAGTAATAAATGAAATCTCCCGCTTTGTTTATATTATTTTGGATGTTTGTCGAATGGTACCGCTGGTATCGCGGGAAACTTGGTTTCGGTTTCGGATTGCGACCAAAATAGGCATGCTTGGTGCACGTGGAAATACAAGTGCACGTTTTCATCGCCGCAAGAGATCGATGCCGTACGTGCTGTTCGGTACAGACACATTTCACGTCCATAGTTACGGTTATACTGGCACACACCACACAAGTGAGTATATTCGGATCGATTATCGCCAACGTGTGTGCACTGAGGTATTGTTATCGGAACGCGGGAAACAGCCTTAAAAAACCCCTTGCGACGTACTATTAATCTCCCGCACTGCATTTGTACCTTTATGGTTAATAATATCCGATTTCGTAGTGTTTGTTTCCGCGTTGGACACCCCTGTGTTGTGTTTCTTTTTCAGCAAATAAAGTTCACGCACACAAAACTTGCTGTCGAGGACGGAGAAGCGACAGTACGAAGTAGTGACGTTTTTTTCTGGCACCGGTGCCGGTACGCGGACGAAGTTGCGACGAGCAACACTCATCTCGCTCTCGCGCCAGGTACAGACATACGCAGGTCTAGAGAAGGAGACGGATCATTTCCTTGCCTGAACATGTTTATTTTGCTTTGCGCCACATTATGTATAATACGCAGCATTTCGCTACATTTTACCGATCACCGCGAAACAGCACAGAAACCGAGACCGTGCATTGGTTAGGCCTACGTCAACCGCACCGATCAGCTCAGCTGGATCTGGGCGGGTGCCAGGGTTTAGAATGACAGTTCAGTACATACCATTACGTTGAAATAAACGAGACGAAATCTGGTTATATGCAATAACAGTACCTAAAAAGAAACACGGACCGCGTTCACGAGCTTTACGACAAGATTCACGCTGCCGTCTTCAACCAGCGACGAATGGGACGAATCTCCGAATCTGCCGAATATTCGTCGCGGGAAGTTCGGAAATTTCCGAATCAGTCCGAATCCGAATCTCTGGTGATTCGTCCCATCACTAATATTGATTATGAATAAGCCAAGCAACGAAGAAGACGTAGGAAAGATTCGGGTAGGTGAGGTGATCATATGCATACGTCCGAATTGTTGGATAAGCTGCTCAAATTGCCTCTTTGCAGGAGCGCCTACGAGCATAATAATATTAAAATCGCAGCCCATAATTACGATATACCTTTTTTCAGTCGAAGAAATCAGGATTGATTCAAGAAACGAAAAAAAAAATCATGAGGTTTTCCATCTGGAGGGTGGTACACAACGGGTATCACGTTTCGGTTAATGCGCAGATATAGAACTTCGTAGTTTCGATTAATACACGAGTAATCGGGCAAAATTTCGTAACAGTGTTTATTTACAAGTAAAGACACACCACCTCCACGGCTGCTGGTTCGGTTTTGAAAAAGATTGTTATATAAAGGTAGGTCAAAAGCAGTGTTGTCTTCGACGTACCACGTCTCAGTTAACTGATCACGTCGAAGGCACATTTAAACTGACCAAAGAGTACTTAAATTTCAGTACCCTCGTTTCTCGCAGACTGTGCATTTAAATTAAAAGTTTTAGAGATTGTGCATATCCACTTTAATAAACATTTTCGAAATCAGATGAAGTAACATAAATCAAGCTAGTCATTATCAAGGATCAAAACTACCATAAAAGCAAGTGTCAGCAGGAATTACACACTGTTATCCGGGTCTCTTCGCACAAGGGGCGCTCTTTCCCTGTCTTTCTGTCCCGCGAAACTGTTGGGGCAAGTCGGAAAAACTTCGCTTGCACCGTCGGTGCCAGGGTTACGGTCCCTGAAACGCGTCTTGGACCGGTGGGTTTAACGTTCTCTCCCGTCCATACATCAAACGTGGTCCCTGAGTTACCGAAGATGCCAGAAATGACTTCACAGACGTCAGCGTGTCGTATTGCCATATATTGCGATCCTGGCGGTTGGTGCTAGAAGCTAGAAAGAAAAAAAAATGTCCAAGGACACCTATGCACTTCTTACGAGTCGTGAATGTGTAAGCAAGAATATCGTACCTCCGCTCCTTTAGTTCGTCTGCGGAGTAGTGACGTGGACGGCCAAGCGTGCGCTATCGTGAAGTGGCCACGCCGCGCTGAGCCCGGTCGTGCAGCCTCTCCGGAGTTTACCCGAGCGGGCTGTGCGGCCAGGCCCGCACCGCCGCACCTCTTACCGGCGGCCGGGCCGCTGCGTGCTCTGCGTAGCCATAAACAGAAATGCTTTGGTGCCGTTTTTTTTTTCTTCTTTTTTTTAATTGCGCCGCTTGAGAGCCAATGGGAGCCTCGTCCCTTGATGACGCGCGCCAGCCAATGGGAGTCTATCCATCAGATTTCTGCAACAGACGACAGGCTTCGCTCCATTGGGACAGGGGAAGGTGCCGTTTGGCGCGGCTTCAAAGCTGATGACGTCGGCTCGCTCCATGGGACAGTTAGTGCTTTTTTATTGAAAAAGTACGAACGAACGCGAGTATCGCTTTCGTCGCGGAGTTCCAACTCCTGGCTGCTGGAGCGTCCACTGACTGTCCGGCTAGAGAGCGACCTGCGGTAGAACAGGCGTCGCCTGCCGCATACACCACCACTGTTGTGACACGGCCAGCATTACGAACGGCGGCAACATTGTGGCGCTCCTAAGAAGGCGTCATAGAGCAGAAATGGAGGAACCACACTTTAGGACGGAGAGAACACACCGGTCAGAGACGCGTTCCAGGTGACCGGAGGAGAGACACTTCTGATTTTTCCGACCGCTCTTGCAGGCTACGAGGAAGACGCCGCCCCGTATCCTGACGATCAGGTCGACGAGCAGGGCGACGACAGAGCGCCCTCGGCGCCTCCGAATGAGCAGCGGCAGGAGTCTGCAGAGAAGCTCGTCTAGCCTCCCGCCATAAGAGACCTAAATGTTCTTGCCGCGCACTTTTTTTTCGTATTTAATTTTCCATTTTTTTAACAAAAAGCCGACAATGTAATCGTTACCTACCGCTAAAGCCGTGTTTAGATTTCTTTACTTTTTTTCTTAGAATTAATGAACCAATCGTCCTAATGCAAAAGTTTATCTTCGATCACCAATACTTTCGTTTCTAAACTCAATATTTTTATCCGCCATTTCACGTGATGCCTACTTCCCCATTGCCATTGCTTCCATTTGGCCATTATATACGTTTACGCGTAATCCAAGCCACGTTGAAAACGAATATCCGGAAAACGGTAAAATAATTTTACGAGAGAGAAAATTAAACGAATGATTGGACGGAGCACCTAGAAAGAGAGATTCTCCTTTTGGCAACGCAACTACTTTTGCATTTTATTGACGTTGATAATAGTTGTAAATGTGTCTACCCCGAAGATCAAAACGATAGTTTCTCAGTTCCAAAATCCTTGTTGAAAGGCACTGTCAATAAATGGAACTACACGGTGAGAAATTGAGAAAATGGAGAAAAAAAATAGCGTGCAGGGACGTTGTCCTGTTCTCTCCCTCAATTAAGAAAGTGTGGAAGGTTGGCTTTCATAATGCATACAGCCTTGGTACGCTGCAACGCTTTTGTGGGCCAGTACGGCTTTTTTTCATTGTCTTTATCGCAAATAATTATGTTTGTATTCGTGTATGGTCAATTCCCAAAGTTTGTAACCTCAGAGAATACGAGCCGGTTCTCCTAAGCCTTGGTTCATCGACGTTCGACCGTATTTTACAGTTTTCGCATAAAAGGATGTCAAAAAGTACTCATCAAAAAAGTTACAATGCTAAGAATGTTATATTTTTCGTGTAAAGGACGCGTGCAGTTTCTGCGAGTGGCTCGGGCTACTTCCATAGAAGTGAACGTCGCGAAGTCGGAAAGAAAAACGGCACAACAGACACTTTCAGAAATTCAGCGCCATCTATGGGTTGAATACCAGTCTAACTTTTCGTATGCTAACGGCGGTACGTGCGTCGACGGCAGACGTACGAGAACGGCGGTGTTTTCCACCATGTCAGTTTAGGTGGTGACATAAAACCAGGCTAGATAGGAGGCGCCTACCTGAGTTAAACTCTTAATAAAATCCATCACATCAACGGGCTTGGGAGTCGAGTACGTGCCAATTAATAGACCGATTTCACGAAGCGCTCGGCGCATGCGTGACGCGGCCATAGCTTTAGTTCGCAGGAGACAGGCAGCATGCAGTGCACGAGACAGCTCGTGCCACCTCATGCTCCGAATGTGCAGAGCTCCAGCCAGGTTGTTGCACGTGCAGAAAGACTAAAGTTCGCTTAATACATTGCGGCAGCAGCAGCGTAACCAGACCGGCTGGTGAGATCAATCTATTTATTAGACCGAAAGGAACTCTGAAAACTGGTTCAAACGGCCCTGTCTTTTTTACGTTACTTCGTCCTCGTTACGTTAAGTTACGTTACGAAAGCGTACGTCTGCTTACGCCACAAGCCGCCGGGACATCTGTGCTTCGTATAGGTAGTATTCACTGGCGGCCATAGTTGCGCTCGAAGCTGCCGAGCACGTGGTGGCGACAGGCTTCTACAACGCTTCCAACACGCACACTATCAAGATAATCTTCTTTGGGAGACCATAAATAAGTACTCATCCCGAGCACGCGCTATGGCGTCCAGTGAATACCACGCTGCTACAGTGTACTAGAATACTTGGATTACAATGTACGTGGGTAGTGTTCGGACCGGAGCGGCTCGCCTGATGCGCGTGGTATTGATCGCGACAGGTGTCGACACTGGCGCGTTACCCAGAAGGTGCGCGCATGCGCGGCTTCAGCCACAAAATTACGAATTTTTGGTGACGCTTTGGTAGAGTGCACATAGGAGTTCTGATACAGCTAGGACCTGCCAGCGATCGTACCGCGGCATCAATTACGCTGCGGCACGACCGTGGGCAACATGATGCTTCAATGTATTGGACGGTACAAGCTACCCCTCACAAAAAATTTATATCTGGCCAGATCTGAAGATTTCAGATATGGCCATATCAAAAATTGGCCACATATAACCTGATATGGTATATCTGCCAGATATAGCCTCATAACGCCGGATATAACCTGATACCCCTGGCCAGATATGGAAATCCCAGATCTGGCTAAGTAAGGAAATTCCAGATCTGGCCAGGCATTTCAAAAGTACAAAAGCCTGAAATCAACACTTTATATATTTTTATTGTCTGCCATTCTCCCAAGTGCCCCGGCCCGCACTCGAGGAGTTATGGAAACGGTGGTCCTTCAGCTCCTTAGTGATCGTTACTTTTGACCAATTCCATGATTACACAGTTTCGAGTGTAATTCGTAGTCACCCTAAACAAGCGTCCCATAGGGCTCAAGTACCTATCATATCACTTTTAAGTTCTTCGTCAACGGCAGCGTTCAGGATATTGTGCATTCTGGCCAAACTTCAACCAGGCTGAGCTGCCGAAATCTCTTAACATATTATCATCCTCGTGATTGTTGTTTTAGCAGGAATTACTTAAAAGCTGAGAAATCACAACAACCGAAACCGGGATTTAGCTCAGATTCCGCGGAGCTGTTTATGACATTTTTAGCGTTTCTAACTTAATATCAGCGTTTTTGAAGTTGTACGAGAATGATAATAATGTAAGAGATATGTCTGCAGCTCACCCAGGTTGAAGGTTGGACGGAATGCACAGTACTGACACTGGCGGGACATTTTAAAAGTGGTATGGCAGGTATTTAAGTTCTGTACTGCACGTGTTCAGGGCGACTCCGAATTACACTCAAATCTGTGTAACCATAGAATTGCTCAAAATTTTCGATCACTAGGCAGCTGAAGAAACACCGTCCCCATGATTCCTCGAGTACAGGCCGAGGCACTTACGGGATTTAGCAAATTGTCTATTCGGGCGTAATGTTAACACTTTGAAATAATTAAGCTACATTGAAATCCTTCGAAAACTAGCACAAATAATCTTAAACTTAAGCTTGTCGAAGCTGAAGTTTGGAATTATTTGTGCTAACATTTAGGTCGCGAACAATAAGTCATTCAGAGTTTTCTAACAAAGAATTTTTTTTACTTGTTTTAACTTTTTAATATATTGAAAACCGGCCGCCAGATAAGTCTGTATATACGCCAGATAAGTCTGTATATACGCCATATCAGGCTGTATATATGCCAGATAAGACTGTATATACGCCAGATAAGTCTGTATATACGCCATATCAGGCTGTATATACGCCAGATAAGTCTGTATATACGCCAGATAAGACTGTATATAGGCCGTATATAATCATATAATGTTTGATATGGCCAGATATGGCCCAGATATAAGATTTCCTTTCCTTTACATAAAAACAATTGCGACTTTAAAGAAGCGGATTCCAAGTTCTTTCAGCGTAGAATTAGCTGCGACTTTCGGTTCGTCGGTTTGTTGAAAAAGGCCAAACATTATATATTTGGTGGCAATATCTAAAACATGGAAGCAGTTTTTGTTCTATTTTATTTTATAGCGGAACGAAACGGCACATACTAAGGCCCGAGATTGTTTTAGTATGTTTTAAGTACCCCAGTTTAAATACTCGGTCTTCTTTTCTGCCCGTCTTCTTCTTGACCTTAATCAGCTCGCTCCACTTTTCACTCACTCTTGTGTTCATTTATGTGACAAGCGACGGTCGCAAAAAGATGAGAATCTTATATTTCTTCATGGCTGCCACGACCACCCGAGGACCTCCCGACGCTTACTTGTAAGAAATGGCTTATAAGCCGTGACAGTTTTTATCACGCGTTTCAACATCGAGCTTAAGTGAAAAAACAGAGGCAACGTGGGCTGAAAAAGTAATGCTTTATAAGATTTAAAGAAAGAAACAAGCAACTATTTCACATCATTTAGACCAGGAAACAACACCACAAAAAATAAGGCAAGGTAAATGTTGTAATAGTTTACAGCACGGCACTGCATTACATGGTTACAATGTGCAGCGCATACATGGCCCTGAAGATATACTCGGCGTACCACATCAGGTAAGTTGTCCAAACAAATAAACACCGCGCTTTCGATGCTGATCTTGTTAGACTTCGGCTCAAGAGCAGTCTCCAAATAAGCAGCACCGTCGAAGTTGCTGAACTTGTGAACGGACCAGAAGGGAGTTGGCACATTCAGGGAGCCTAGTGCGTCGCGAGCAATGCCTTGTGGGATTACGGCAGGAGCTTCGCTGTTCACCACTGGTGACAACAGGTCAGTTTCCCGAGTGAGTCCCGAACGCTTCGCAACGATGGGCTCTGGTGCCTTCCGCTTCCTTTCCTCTCGTACTGCGGGAGGGTAACCACTCACGTCCTGGGGTACACTTGGCAGAAGAGTCGGCACCGCTTCTGGTGTAAGCGCGGGGTGTCCACGAGGACACCCCGTGCTTGTCCGATTGTTGCAGATTCTTTTCCCAAGATCTCTGGTGGCACTGTCTTTTTGAACGCCGAAAAGGGACGCCGCTTTCACACCTTTGACTCTGATGTAGCCCGTTGGGCAACCAGGTGCGCAGCAAGAGTTTTATCGCCTTTTCGTCGACGGCATTGCGACGCTACCCTAAATCGTGTTTCACATGCAGCGATTTTGGCCCTAGAGCGGCGCGATTTCTGCCGTCGCGACGGCGCTCGTGCCGATCAACCGCTGGTGCTGGCCAGAGCGCCGCGACGGCAGAAATCGCGCCGCTCTAGGGCCAAAACCGCTGCATGTGATACACGCTTTACGCGTTCACCATCCGAAAAATCAGAACACATAAGATTCAAAACATATTTCGATCGAACACACGGAACTATAAAATCGTGGTCGGCTTACCGACGCGCGAGGCGCTCAAAGCGGGAAAAAAAAAAAAAAAAGCAACAACGTCGTCGATTTTAAACGCATTTTCCGTCAAACGTGACGGGCTGCGCGATTTTTTCCGGGTAACTCGACT